CAGTGCCAGGGCACACAGCAGCCCTCCCTGGGGCTGCAGGACTGCCCCAGCCTGGCTGCCCAAGCCTGGCTGCCCAGCCCCAGAGTCACCCCCAGGCCAAGCGAACACGAACACAAACACAAAAACACAAACACAAAAAACACAAACACGAACACAAACAAACACAAAGACAAACACAAGCAGTTCTTGCTGCAGGGACTGAGCTCAGCCCCTCCCAGGCCCTGGTTACAGATGATGAGGATGCTGCAGCTGAACCCACCTCAGCCAGCCACAGCAGCCAGGGCACTTCAGAAAAGGCAATTAAGATAATGCAGGAGAGCACCTCCTGAGACGTTAATGAGCTCCTACCAGGGCAATATCAAGTTCACAGTTTGCTACGTTTTTACTTTCAATTTCCTCTGAAGTTTTACTGATGTGGTTTCCTGGCAGTAGGGAAACCTCACCCTGCTCTGGCAGAGCCCTGGATCCCAGCACGCCTGGCAGGGCAGTGCCAGGCTACAGACTCTGCAAATCCTGCCAGCTTCACCAAAATCAGCTGCCTGGAGGCTGCAGCCAGCTGCAAAACTCTGCCGTGAGCTGATGGGTGAGTAACAGCCTGGGATCTGTTCAGTTTGGGTTTTATTCTGCTCAGATCTGTTCTGTTCAGGTTTTATTCATGTAGAAATCTATCAGGTTTCTTCCATCCTCAGCACAGCTCCTCTTTGTGCCCCATGCCCATCCCAAACTGCAGAACAAGCAGCTCCAGCACCCTGAGCTGCAGAGAGCTGCTTCCCCTGTCTGGAGCTCAAGTTTCTCAAGTTTCCCCCGGCTGTTTCTCTGGGCAAAACCCCTCCAGACTCTTCTCACTCTCCCCTTGCCTTCTGAACAGCAAGGATTTTTGGGAGGCAGTTCTAAAAGCCCAGACACCCGCGGGAAGCTGTCCCTGCCCTTGGCAGGGGCTTGAACAGACCTTTGAGCCCCCTGGAACCCAAACCATGCTGTGATTCTGAGGAAATTTCACCCAATACACGAAATAAGGTCGGAGCTGGTGAAGATAACAGAAGTTCCTGCTGTTCTCCAGTGGCTGAGCTGGAGCTCAGCATCTCCTCGGGAGCTGCCAGCCCTGGGGCACAGCACAGAGAACATCTCTGCCTCCTGCTCCCCTCCTGCCCAGCCCTGCCCAGGCTGGCAGGAGCCTCCCAAGGAGTCCTGCAGCAGCA